TCCCGGACGGACTGGATCTGCCCCACCTCGGGTCCCACAGACCAGCAAAGGGCCAGGAGCGCCAAGGGATTCCAGCAGCAGCCTGTTCCTTGGCCCAGGCCTGTCCCCTCTGCCCTCACCCAGCCCAGCCGGGCCCAGCCCCAGGGCTGAGGTGTGGCCGCCCAGGCCCTCCATCCCAGCACACAGGGGCAGCCTGAGGGCTGCGCCGCCCCCCAGCCTCCAGCTTCTCTTCTGTGCCAGGCTGGGGGCTTCTTTGTCTGACAGCTGCCGCTTGGCCCCTTTAAGAGCGCGCCCGGGCCGAGCCCTCCCCATTGAGATGCAAAGCGCGCCGGCTCTCCAGCAACCCTGCCTAAAATATGGGTCAAACCGGCAGCCTGGGAGCCCCAGACACGTGCCAGCACCTGGCAGGCGGCAGGTGAGAAAATCAACTGCTCCTGGGTGGTGGGACTGGAGCCTCCTCTGGGAGCAGATCCTCCCTCCCCCATCCTTGTGCCTAGTCGGGCAGCTCTGCCCACCGCCGGCTCCAGCACAGCTCATAGCTCCGGGCCCTTGGGCCTTGCACGACTCTGCTAAGCAGAGGGGCAGTGGCCCCGGCCCGCTCCCCAGGGACCGAATCCTTGGACGCCATCAAGGCCCACGGAGATCCAGAGGAGCGGAGGGTGCTCCCCACACTGCAGCACTGAGCCCCAAATCAGCAACCTGATACCACCCCCGCCTCCCATCCCCCACAGGGGAGTGCAGCACCCTCCCCCCCCCACTCAGCTGCACAATGGGCGATTTAATTCTTCCCTGGCCTGCGCTGACGTCCCCGTGGCATGGGAAGGACCTGGGGTGACCAGGATGGAGGGATCCTGCTGGCTTTGGCGGTGCCTCGCACAGGGCTGCGAGGCCTGAATCGCGGCTTGAAATCAGCCCCGGCCCGCACGGTGTCGCAGCCAGCGCCGGCACAAACCAGGGCGCCAAATTCCTGCCGGATTACAAGGGAGCAACAAGTGCAAAACCATCGTCTCTCCCCTTCGCCTGGAAATAACCCCGGGGGCTGCGGCCGCCTTGTTTTAAAATGCACACACCTGCCCCTTCTCTCCTGGGCCGACCCAACCCGGCCGCTTCGCTCTCGGCGGGAGACTCCCGCAGCTGAATGACCCGTCCAGCCCCCAGACTTTTCGGCGGAAACAGCACGGCTGCAACTTTACTGGCCCCAGGATGACCAGGGACAGCCCTTTCCGCACAGCCCCGCGCCCCGGAGACGGGGGCTCAGAGCCCTCAGGAGGGCGCGGCGGCTGGGAAGGGTGCCCAGGCATAAGCCAGAGCTGGAATCTCCAGCGAGGATGCTCTCGACACAAAAGAGGGCCGGAAGGGAGGTCTCTCTGCGTTCTGCAGCTGCCCCCGTGTTTCAAAAGCAGGAGAAGGGAGGGTAAAAAAATCTCCCAAGCTCATCAGAGCGAATCACGCATCCGAACCCCCAAGAGCCCCACCCCACTTACCCCTAATTTCCTGCTCTTCATTTTCACGTAGCCCTGTTTGACGATGTCGTTAAAATTCGTTGCCATGGCGTAGCCCTCTGCAGCCAGGATCCACTCCCAAGGAGCGCTGCTTTTCCCTCGCCCGCTTTCCTTCCGTCTGTCTTCCCCCCCTCCTCCGTCAGCGTTCACCTGCTCTCAGACACTCCCCAGGATGCAGGTCGGGGGCCTCCCCAGCACCGTTCTAGCAGCCCTCATGCTGCCTGCCACCCTGGCACTGGCTGTAAAACAAAAATGACAGATAGATCAGAGATAGTGACATCTTCCTTTCCCTTTCTGACTGAACCATTCGGGAAAAACCAAGGTGCACCATCCAGAAGAGGAGAAATGGAACAGTCCGGTTGTTAACCCCTCGATTCTTCACCCGGACGCACCAGGAACCACGTTTGCGCTGCTTGGGAATCAGCTGCGGGTCCGAGAGGGGAACCGAGATGGGGCTGTGGGGATGGGAATTCACAGCAGGGAGGTAACAGGGCAGGCCTCTGATGAAGGCTCTGATCACTGGGGCTTTAATGCACTACAGAGGCAAATCGAAGCAGGAGGGGGGTTGCAGACAGGGCAGCAGCAGGTACCAGCTAATAAATAAGGACATCAGCTCACAGAGCCACAGCCCTTTGCATCTCCTGGTAGGGATGTGAACGGTTAACCCTTACCAGGGGATGCTAACCTGTTACCATTAACTGGCAGGGACTGGAGCCCGCCATGGGAAACATAAGAACAGTCATAGTGGGTCAGACCAAAGGTCCATCCAGCCCAGTAGCCTGTCTGCCGACAGCGGCCAATGCCAGGTGCCCAGAGGGAGTGAACAGAACAGATAATGATCAAGCGATCTGTCTCCTGCCATCCATCTCCACCCTCTGACAAACGGAGGCTAGGAACACCATTCCTTACCCATCCTGGCTAATAGCCATTGATGGACTTAACCTCTATGAATTTATCTAGCTCTTTTTTAAACCCTGTTACAGTCCTAGCCTTCACAACCTCCTCAGGCAAGGAGTTCCACAGGTTGATTGTGCATCGCACAAAGAAAAACGTCCTTGGTTTGTTTTAAACCTGCTTCCCATTCATTTCATTCGGTGGTTCTTTAACTGCACTATAAAACCTTTAAAAACATTGAATATAAATTTAAGGCACAGAATAGAAAAAATTGTCCATATTTACCTGAAAATGTCCTTTCCTTAAAGCAGGCATGTCCAAAGTCCGGCCCGCGGGCCAATTGCGGCCCGTGTTCCGGTTTAATACGGCCCCCGCTTCCTCCCCCTCTCCTGGCTCCCTGGCGTTCTTTTGAACTGGCGCGCCCAGTGTGCCGCTTCCGGCCACAAGATGTGGGCGTACCATGGATTTATATAAGGGCAATAAGATATTCTCCATCTTATTCTCTATCCTTTTTTTTTCCAGCAGCCCCCATCTGTGGGGGTCCTGGCCTGGTCAGAAGAGTGTGCCGTGGGTGAGGGCACTCCTGCCCAGCTAAATCAGCCCCTGCTTGGGGGGCAGGAACACTCCAGCCCAGCGGGACTGGAGCAGCCCCTCCTCCCTCTGTTTAAGCAGTTAACCAGTTAACCATAACGTTTAACCAGCTAACTGATAAACGGATTTTGACATCCCTACGGCAGTGATCCCGCAGCACTCCGACCCCACCAACTAAAGAAGCCAACTGTACCTACCCCGAATCAATCCACCCAGCACTGACTCTGGGAGCCAGGTGATGTTCCTGAGACAGGCAGCCCCCAAACAGCGTACAGCTTGCTCCTCGCTGACTGACCTCGGTTTAGTTTCGCATGCCAGTCAAATCTCCTCGCGTTGAAATGCAGCCCCCTCAAGGGTGGCACACATGAGCTGTCAGGCAGCGTACACAAAAGGCCCGTCTATACTGCCCGACACAACACCGCAATCCCCTTGTCAGGCCTGCAACACTGTGCTGCCTCCTAGCATGGCCAGGACCACAGTACGCCTAGGGTTGCCAGGTGTCCAGTTTTGAACCGGACGGTCCGGTATTTGAGGGTTGTCTGGGAAACAAATTGAGAAAATACCAGACATATTAAATGTCCGTTATTTTCTAATTAGGTAAGTTTTATTATTATTAGGAGTATCAGTACGTAGCTGCGAACTGCCGGGCTGGTAGCCACCTGGTAACCCTAGGTATGCCTCTCAGTCTGCCAGGGCCCCAAGACGGAAAACGCTGCCTGATGAACACCTAAAGCGACAGGCACCTAAGCGCTGTGCACGTAGGCAAGCCAAACAGCGCGCTTCCTTCCTTTAGCACCAGTCAGGCTCCAGAAGCTTGGGGCATGGATCTTTACGTCTGTCAAATAATTCCCAGCCAGAGGGGGATGTGGAACATTTGGGGATTAAACCGAGTGACAGCATTTCTGAGATACCAACCCAAACGTACCTGATCCCAAGTCACGGCGCTGCAGGAGAGCAGGAGCCATCTACCCCTCTAGGCACAACAATATTTGAGTCATGTCAGGAGACAAGGGGGGCGTAGTCAGATTCACTCACCTGGCTGACAGGGTGGTGTGAGCACACCCAACGGCTGCACGCCACACTTAAGGAGAGGAAGTGCAGACAATGGAAGTGCTGGGGGATGACTTAGGAAAGCACAACTGAGTTACACCGTCTGGAATACGGCCAGGGCACAAGAGCTAACTCCCCTCTCCCCCTCCTCGACTTTTAGGAAAAGCATCATGGGGCATTTCACGGCCAGAAGGAGCCAGCAATAGGAACGCCCATTCCTGTTCCATCCAGAAGGCTAATGGAGTTACCGACACAGGGTACGCTGCCCTGAGACAGAGTTACAGGCACAAGCCCAGTGAGGCTAGCGCCAGCACTGGATTACCAACCCCAGGAGCAAGCAGGGGTTCCTCCTGCAGGCGATGCCAGAATCCCATGGCCAGGAGATACCAACACATGGACAGATGGCACAGAACAGTTACTGGCGCCGCAACCGATCTCCCCCCGAGAGGGACTCGCTTCAATCCAGTGCTGCCACGCTGGTGCCAGGGTGGCTAAGGGCACACAGCCCTTGGGGATCTCGTGCACACCCAGGGCCCCCCGGCACTCGGCTGACTCGCACCAGCAGGGGCTAAATGATCGTCCCACAGCCCTGGGGGGGGGTTGTTTGGATTCCGATCTCTATCGTGGGGGAGGGAAGACGGACGTGGACGTTTGCTGCGCAGAGATCTCCCGGCGTCACGGACACACCCTGCTCCTTCCCGCTGGGGACCCTGGGAAGCCGAGCCTGACAGGCAGGCCTGCCCCACGCCGCTCTGTGCATTCCCAGGGTCAGGGCGGAGTAACGGCGCAGAGCAGTCTCACGTTACTAGCCCTGGGGTGCATTGCCGGCGCCAGCGTGGTCTGGCTAGCTCCCGGGTGGCGGGGTTATTCATGCCAGCAACTGGGTGGCTTTCCTGGCACCAAAACTGCGTAGGCGAATGCGAATTGGGTTACCAGAGCAAGGCTGCAAATCCTGGTGCCAGGAGCTGGAGAACAGCAGAGGGAGGAGCTCTTGGCCTCAGGCATGAAGCAGGAGAGCTAGAAAAAGGGTTTTCACACCAAGGCGCCTGGCAGCCCAGCGAGGTGGGGCGGAGGGGGGGAAGCTCCTGCAACCGGGATGGGGACGCCAGCGCCTGGGCCATGAGATTCCTTCTGCCAGATCCGACAGCAGGGCCGCATTAATTAATCTCTCCGAGACCTCGAGTTCCTAATGAGGAACAGATGGGACGGCCTGCTCGGCACATTCACACAACAAGGGTGGATATGCAAAGAGTACAAGCACACTTCTGCAGATTTCTACCTTGTACATCTGTCCGTCCGTTCCTCCCTCCCCCAACTCTGCACACCTTACTCCTGTCCGTCTGTCCCTCGCTCCATCTCTGCGCATCTTCCTCCTGTCCGTCCGTCCCTAGCTCCATCTCTGCGCATCTTCCTCCTGTCCGTTCGTCCCTACCTCCATCTCTGCGCATCTTCCTCCTGTCCGTCTGTCCCTCGCTCCATCTCTGCGCATCTTCCTCCTGTCCGTCTGTCCCTCGCTCCATCTCTGCGCACCTTCCTCCTGTCCGTTCGTCCCTACCTCCATCTCTGCGCACCTTCCTCCTGTCCGTCCATCCCTAGCTCCATCTCTGCGCATCTTCCTCCTGTCCGTCCGTCCCTACCTCCATCTCTGCACACCTTACTCCTGTCCGTCTGTCCCTCGCTCCATCTCTGCGCATCTTCCTCCTGTCCGTCTGTCCCTCCCCCCAACTCTGCGCACCTTCCTCCTGTCCGTCTGGCCCTCGCTCCATCTCTGCGCCCCTTCCTCCTGTCCGTCTGGCCCTCGCTCCATCTCTGCGCCCCTTCCTCCTGTCCGTCTGGCCCTCGCTCCATCTCTGCGCCCCTTCCTCCTGTCCGTCTGGCCCTCGCTCCATCTCTGCGCCCCTTCCTCCTGTCCGTCTGGCCCTCGCTCCATCTCTGCGCCCCTTCCTCCTGTCCGTCTGGCCCTCGCTCCATCTCTGCGCCCCTTCCTCCTGTCCGTCTGGCCCTCGCTCCATCTCTGCGCCCCTTCCTCCTGTCCGTCTGGCCCTCGCTCCATCTCTGCGCCCCTTCCTCCTGTCCGTCTGGCCCTCGCTCCATCTCTGCGCCCCTTCCTCCTGTCCGTCTGGCCCTCGCTCCATCTCTGCGCCCCTTCCTCCTGTCCGTCTGGCCCTCGCTCCATCTCTGCGCCCCTTCCTCCTGTCCGTCTGGCCCTCGCTCCATCTCTGCGCCCCTTCCTCCTGTCCGTCTGGCCCTCGCTCCATCTCTGCGCCCCTTCCTCCTGTCCGTCTGGCCCTCGCTCCATCTCTGCGCCCCTTCCTCCTGTCCGTCTGGCCCTCGCTCCATCTCTGCGCCCCTTCCTCCTGTCCGTCTGGCCCTCGCTCCATCTCTGCGCCCCTTCCTCCTGTCCGTCTGGCCCTCGCTCCATCTCTGCGCCCCTTCCTCCTGTCCGTCTGGCCCTCGCTCCATCTCTGCGCCCCTTCCTCCTGTCCGTCTGGCCCTCGCTCCATCTCTGCGCCCCTTCCTCCTGTCCGTCTGGCCCTCGCTCCATCTCTGCGCCCCTTCCTCCTGTCCGTCTGGCCCTCGCTCCATCTCTGCGCCCCTTCCTCCTGTCCGTCTGGCCCTCGCTCCATCTCTGCGCCCCTTCCTCCTGTCCGTCTGGCCCTCGCTCCATCTCTGCGCCCCTTCCTCCTGTCCGTCTGGCCCTCGCTCCATCTCTGCGCCCCTTCCTCCTGTCCGTCTGGCCCTCG